CTCGTCCTCCGCGGCCGTGTCGGTGGCGACTCGGCGTGGGACGCACGGTGGGCTAGTGACGGGGCTGCCCAACCCGGGGGGTGGCGGAGGACCCCAGCTCACCGTGCCCCCCAACCTGCTGCCCCAGACGTTGCTTAATGGACCTGCCAGTGCCGCTGTGCTGCCCCCACCGCCGCCCCACGGGCTGGGCAGCCGTGGGCCCCCGACGCCCGCGCCCCCAGGGGCTCCCGGGGGTCCTGCTTGTCTCGGGGGCGCCCCGGGCGTGTCAGTCGCGTCGTCTTCCGCGTCGTCCTCGACCTCGTCGTCCGTAGCGGAGGTGGGCGTGGGGACCGGTGGCAAAAGGCCCGGCTCGGTGTCGAGCACGGACCAGGAGCGCGAGCTGAAGGAGAAGCAGCGCAACGCCGAGGCCCTGGCCGAGCTGAGCGAGAGCCTGCGCAACCGCGCAGAAGAGTGGGCCAACAAGCCCAAGATGGTCCGCGACACGCTGCTCACGCTGGCCGGGTGCACCCCCTACGAGGTGCGTTTCAAGAAGGACCACTCCCTTCTGGGCCGAGTCTTCGCCTTCGACGCAGTCTCCAAGCCCGGCATGGACTACGAGCTGAAGCTGTTCATTGAGTACCCCACAGGCTCGGGCAATGTGTACTCCAGTGCGTCCGGCGTGGCCAAGCAGATGTACCAGGACTGCATGAAGGACTTTGGCCGGGGATTGTCCTCGGGTTTCAAGTACCTGGAGTACGAGAAGAAGCACGGCTCCGGGGACTGGCGCCTGCTGGGGGACCTGCTCCCCGAAGCTGTGCGCTTCTTCAAGGAGGGTGTGCCTGGCGCCGACATGCTGCCCCAGCCATACCTGGACGCCAGCTGCCCCATGCTACCCACGGCGCTCGTGAGCCTAAGCCGCGCCCCCAGCGCACCGCCGGGGACCGGGGCCCTGCCGCCTGCAGCCCCTTCGGGCCGGGGCACAGCCGCCAGCCTGCGCAAAAGGAAGGCTTCCCCTGAGCCCCCAGACTCAGCGGAGGGTGCCCTGAAGCTGGGCGAGGAGCAGCAGAGGCAGTGGATGGCGAACCAGAGTGAGGCGCTGAAGCTCACCATGTCTGCGGGGGGCTTTGCAGCGCCGGCGCACGCGGCTGGGGGACCGCCCCCACCCCTGGGACCCCATTCCAATCGGACCACCCCGCCCGAGTCAGCCCCCCAGAACGGCCCATCCCCCATGGCCGCCCTCATGTCTGTGGCAGACACTCTGGGCACGGCGCATTCTCCCAAGGATGGCAGCTCGGTGCACTCCACCACCGCCTCTGCGCGGCGCAACAGCAGCAGCCCTGTGTCACCAGCTTCCGTGCCCGGGCCACGCCGCTTGGCATCACGGAACGGGGACCTGAATTTACAGGTGGCGCCTCCGCCACCCAGCGCCCACCCTGGCATGGACCAAGTGCACCCCCAAAACATTCCGGATTCCCCTATGGCCAACAGCGGGCCCCTCTGCTGCACCATTTGTCACGAACGTTTGGAGGACACGCATTTCGTCCAGTGCCCATCCGTCCCCAGCCACAAATTCTGCTTCCCTTGTTCCCGCGAGAGTATCAAGGCCCAGGGGGCCACTGGCGAGGTGTACTGCCCCAGCGGGGAGAAATGCCCCTTGGTCGGTTCGAACGTACCTTGGGCCTTCATGCAAGGCGAAATCGCGACCATCTTAGCCGGGGACGTTAAAGTGAAAAAGGAGAGAGACCCTTAGAGACCCCTGAACCACAGGACAGATACCACCTCTGCCCTGGACCAGCTCCTCACCAACACAGAGGGCCCTCCCACCCCCAGATGTAGAATTGTGAATATAACAAACTGCAAAAAGTTAGTCTTATGTATAGACATTATTTTCGTCGTATGTTTCTATATTTTGAAACAAAGGTATGTAACTTCTTCATTTGAAGGATAAGCTGGTTTGTGTTAAGCAGTATATTATTGGTTGGGTCATTTGCATCATACTCGTTAGCATTTATTTGGTGGCAGAGTGTTTGCCTAGGTACAGGATTAATAGCCCTTAGCAAAGACTGCTGCTGGTGTGTATTTTTTAAATGTTATGCGCTCTCTGAAAGGATAAGAAAAATACAAAAAAAATAAAAAGACCCCAACAACACAAAAGGACTCCGCCCCTCCCAAGGCCAGTGTTGATGCCTAAAAATGAAAAAGAAAAAAAAAAGGAAAAAAAGGAAAAAATACAAAAAAAACCCACAATGCTATAAAAATGGTGAAAGCTTCTTTCTAAGCAGCCCCCAGTGTCCAGTCTTCAGTTCGTTTTGTTTCGTTTTCTGTTTTGTTTGCAACATGATGAGGGTATTGTTGGGGGGGAATGGGGTGTTTTCTGTTGCCAGTTTGTGAGGGAAATGTTTTGGTTTGTTTAAACTGCTCTGAATGTGTTGGATCTCCACGTGTTGTTTTGTTTTGTTATTTTGGGGTTTGTTTTGCTTTCTCGATGCACGGATGCTTTTGAACAGTAGAGCGAAATGCTAGACCCGGAGATTCTGCTCTGTTTGTCCTTTATACATTTCTGTAGTTAACAGAACACTGTAATGTGCCTTGGAGCTTAGTAACTTGTAATAAATTCAATTGATATTAATTCTGCCCTGAGTCAGCAAGTTTTGTCTTTCTAGGACTTAAGACACACAGCTCCAACCGAGGGGCGCCCTCCCACCGCCAGCAGGGAACACAATTACCAGTGTCTTCCGAAACCCTCCGAGGTGGCATCTGTAGCAGTCTGGCGGCCCCTTGGTACCAGGCTATTTACATTCGACAGTGCTGACTAAGCGTTTTCTGTTTACTCTTCAGCATCTCACCCCACCCCCACCCAAGGGCCCCAGCTGCTACTGGCGTTGTCAGAAATGCTTTCTGGTGCCCGGCCCTGTGGGACCGGAGTCTATGTTGGTACCTAATGTAACTGACTTGTGCAAGTAGGTGCAAAAAAAAAAAGGTGCTTGGCCGCTTAAACGTTGCAGAAATCAAGGCTATTGCACATTTAAAACAAACATGCCACCAAGCGGGGAGCCGCTGAAGAGGGGGGAGGGCTGGGCTACAGGGACACAACGCCCGGGACTAAGCCCGAGGGGTCCCTGCAACTCCCAGCTGATGCATTGGCAAAGCAGTTTTCCCCCAAGATGGCTTTTTCTTCCCATTTTGATAACGCCTTTCTAAACGCATTACATTTAACGGAGCTGAAGGGAAGATGTCGGAGTTGCTAAGGCTAAGGGCACTTAGGATAGCAAATAAAAGCCATTCCTACTGGTAAGGGTGGTGGTAGGGGGGTGTAATTATTCATCTAATCAACTTGTTCTGGCAGCGCCTGGGAGGGTCAGAAGAGGACTGTAATGCCTCCTAGGAGGTGGGCCGGCCAACCAGATTTGAACCGTGTACTTGCCTGGGAGGCAACTGGAAGAAGAGTAGAAAACGAGGGAGGAAGCAAAACAAACCCTGCAGATCCTATCTGAAAGTCATTCCTGGCCACACTCCCCAGTGGCTTCGAGGCAGGCAAGCCCAGCCGGACAATCCCCACCGCACAGAGAAATAAGGGAAGAGGGGCTTGGCTCCCCCACCGACCCCATCAAAGAGGGAGCCAGAGGGTGAGGAGGTGGGTGTGGGCTCCTGCACTTGTGGGGGTGAAAACAAATCACTGGTTAGCCCAGGATGCTGGGTTGGTGTTGGGACTTGCTATTTGTTAATAACACCCTTTTAGTTTTTGTTCCTTTGCCATCACCAACACTGAAGTGGTGGAAATGGTGACTCTGTGTGTGTGTGTGTGTGTGTGTGTGTGTGTGTGTAGTGGTGTGGTACGTGGCCTCTGATCCTGGAACATGGGAGATGCCTGTTTCACCCCTTTTAAGAATCTCCCCAAATATAAATAGTTTGTGTGTCAGTTTCCTGCAAATGTGTCCTTGCATTTTCATCTGCTGCCAAACTTTGTATTGGTGCTTATGAGTCATGAAACCTATTTTCATCCTCAGGGGTAATTAACTTGAGGGGTGGGGGGATAATGCATAGCAGACTGGAGGAAGAGTTAATTCTCAAACCCATCTTGCCTGGCTACCAATCACGCATTCCACTGAAAGGCCTGGGGTGGCTTTTCTCATAAGCTCATTAATAAAAAGCAAGCCTGTTTCGCCTGGAAGATCCGCCAAGGTGCTCCCAGCCCCCACCCTGGCTGCACACACTCTTCAAATGGGGAAAACTCGGACAGCCTGAGCCTTCAGAAATCCAGTGCCCCGGGTGTAATCGAGCCACTGTCAAGCGAGGAGGGGCCACTACCGGGGGTGCAGCCATCAGTAGCACAGTACCATACCAGGTGCCAGGCAGGCGTATGCACAGGGATGTGGGCGTTACCTGTCTAGGTGTGGACCCTAGAGCGACTGTGCAGTGGCTCCAACCCGGAGACTGGGAGGCACTTTTAGGGTTACAAGACCCTTGGTTTTGATTTCTTGCCCCTCAGTGGGGAAGGCGAGGCCTGGCGTGAAGAGCTGGGAGCTGCAAGGCCTTCTTCCTCTTCTGTGTGCTGGGTGCTATTATTAGCAGAAGCAGGTGCCTCGCAGTAAGGAGACATCGGCCAAGGTGGCCAGGCCTGACAGCTGGGGGAGTAGGGGCTATAGAGTGGGAAGAAGAGGAGGAGGTGCTGGTGGAACTCAGCCTGGAAGTGAATTATAATAGTGCAGTTCATTAAAGTTTACCATAGCCGGGGGCCATTTGTTAAATGGAGGCTTTTTTTTTTTTTTGAGCCATGTGACCTTCCTCCCGTTCTGACCCACTCAGTGGCCTTCACCGGTCTTTGATCTCTTAGCTAGATTCCTCTTTCTACCCCAAGCTTTCCTCATCCGACACTGGCCACGTGGGGATTGCTGTGGGTCTCAGAAACTACGGCCTCAGTCTCTGGAGAAGCTGGGATTGGTTCCACTCCCGCTAACCCCGGTCTTGGTCTTCCCAGCCTCCCCCACTCCCTTCCCCCTCAGTGCCAACATGACCCATGACCCACCAAGGTGTATTTCTTTAAAGACTGCTGCCAGTGCTGCTGATGCAGGCTGGCTACTGCCTTACACGTGGATGCAGAGGGCAGAGCGGAAAGAACCTGGCCTGGCCCTTTCTAGAGGATAGGCTGCTGGGGTCCTTCCTTGACCTCGATGGCAGAGAGATGCACCATAGGAGGTGCCCCAGTGAGTCCACAGTAGACCCAGCCCACCGTTCAGGGAGCCTGCTCTTGCGGACTTGCAGGACTTGCATGGACACATTGCTTCAAGGGCAAAGTCCATGATCAGCACAGATTCAGGTTGAAGTCACAAGTACTGAAGGCCTAGTGCACTGGTTTCTAACCCTTTCCGGAACTGAGCACACTTATTAATCCTCTCCCAGAGAAAACATGTAGGTTGTGTGTGTGTGTGCGCGCGCGCGCGCGCGCGCACACACACACACACAGATTTGCAAGGTTTGCTTTCCTGTTTAATGTAAATCCCTCTCCCAAGTGTTGGTTTTTTTAAAGCGAAATATTCCTTTGGTTCAAAATCCAAAAGTTGTAAAGTGGAATACCGTGTGACTGTAACTTCTCCTTTCGACTGTCAGCCCTACCCACTTCCCTTCTGGGACAAAAGGGTGTCACCCTATTTTTAAAGGGATTCACACACATCTCGAGGCCATCCGTGGACCTGGAGGTTAGAACCCCAGGCTCTGGCCTAAGGACTCCAGGGCACAGAGAGGTGAAGTAACATGTTCAGTGTCACACAGTAAGTAGCAGAACCTGGGCTTCACCATGTTAGGAAACAGCTCTCATCTTTTTTGTTGTGGTTAAATTTATTTATTATTTTAAGGACCATTGGCTTCATTGACGAGAGCCCTAGTGGCTAACTGCAAGGACAGCCGCTTGACACCACCAGCCGCTCCATGATAGAAAGGGGAGGCTTTCTGCCCCAATGAAGAGTTACAGTCTCGGGAGCCCAGAGGGGCAGGTCTATCCCATCCCGGCAGGTGGTTATGGACTCTGGCCGTGAGTCTGGTTTTCATTGGAGCTTCCGACAAGAAGGGGAGATGATGAGGTGTCAGGACAAAAGGCGAGGTTGGTGATTTCATGAAATCTTGGTAACCTGAGAACTAGCATTCCCGAGGAGTCTCTTTCTCAGCCACATCCTTGGGGGAAGGGGAGGTTCAGAGAAGGTTTTAGAAGTCTGACGGTAGATGTCTTGCTGGCCAGAACCGTGGAGTCTTCCCTTCACTTTTGAGCTGTGATCCCTTCATGCCAACTTGGTTGTTGAATGGAAACTTTGGAAGGCTTAAGACAGGTAGATAGGCACTTGGGTCCAGAGACAGTAGGGAATAGTTGGGGGGGGGGGGCCGCGGAGAGCAACACCTGCCATCTGGTCCTCACTGCTGATGCAGAGGACGAATGATCTTCCAGATGCTTCGATGGAGCTGCCTGATAAGAGCTACCTCATTCCATCTCCAGGCCAGCCTATGAGGAGTGTGATAGCCTCAGATGTTTCCCTGACTGCAGAGGTTACGTGCCTGAGGCTGTTTATTCCAGTCCACCGCCATCCATCACCCTGGAGGGCAGACTCCTTTTGGGACTCCAGGTTGTCCTTTACAGGGGATTTCTGACTTTGGACCCATCGGCCCAGGAAACCGGCCCTCCCCAGCATCTCCGACTGTGCCTGGCCAGTGCCCAAAGGAAGACCAGCCACAGAAAGAACACCGTCAGGGGCGATCAACTGACTTGTTGCCCTTGAGTGGATTCCAATTCAGAGACCCAGCTGGCTAGAGCAAACTGCGCCACAGGCTGTGAAGGTTGTGAGCTTTCAGAAGCAGATCACCAGTCTGCCTCCTTGGGCACCGCTGGTGGGTTAGAACGGCCAATATTTCGGTTCAAAGTCAAGCTTTTAACTTTGCACCATCCACAGAAACCCAGGAAGCCCGTGCCAAGCCCCCAACCAAACCTGTTTGCCATCGAGTCAATTCTGACTCATGAGGACCCTATAGGACAGAGTAGAACTGTCCCCATAGGGTTTCCAAGGCTGTAATCTTGATAGGAAGTACCCTGGTGGCATAGTGGTCACACATTGGGCTGTGATCCATAAGGCAGCAGTTCAAAACCACTAGCTGCTCATTGAAAGAAATAGGGGGCTTTTTACTCTTGTAAAGAGTTAGTCTCTGAAACTCACAAGGGCAGTTCCAGCCTCTCCTACAGGATGGGTATGAGTCGGCATGAACTCCGTAGCAGTGATCTTTGTAGAAGAGAGTGCCACACCTTTCACAGACTACCTGTTGGGATCAAATAGCTGACCTTTGGATTAACAGCTATGTGCTTAACCACTGTTTCTGTGGAAGGCTCCTCCCTGCACCCTGCCTAAAACCCCCCAACAAACCTCTACAGTCAATTCATAGGACAGGGTAGAACTGCCCTTTATGGGTTTCCAAGACTAAATCTTTACAATAGAGACTTATCTTTCTCATTTGGAGCAACTGGTGGTTTTGAACTGCTGACCTTGTGGTTCGCAACCCAAATCATAACCCACTACACCACCAGAGATCCTTGAGGAAGTTCTACTACATAATACTGCCGACTCCAGGACAGGGCAGAACTGCTCCTGTGAG